ATCAGAATCACTGGGAGTAATGGTATTTGAAAAACACTATTGTGATTATAGTTAAGACACAATAAAGATCATATGTTATTTACACCTTTATCCTATTTTCAAGTTTATCTCCCCTTTCTTGTGAATTCTGCAATGTAGCAAAAGTGAAAGTATTCCTGTTGTATGGCGTGTAATGCTCTGCCCAAAACGTATCCATAGGCTGTTTAACTCAGTACTAACACTCAGAATTCCCTTGTTCTTATAAATATTCACTATTCATCTCAAAGGGCGTTCATCGACTTGCATTTTAACAACTGCTTGTTAACTGGGAGTTAAACAGACACAGAAAGCAACAAAATTATTTTTTCAGAAAAGCCAGGTAGGTAGTCCTTTGTTTGCTTCAGAATTTATAAAAAAAAAAATTCTGTGTAAAATGCCCATAGGAGATAAATGGAAGTAATAGGTTAGGTCACGTTAGCGCCGTTCCATGCATACTAAACAGATGGCAGACAGCATGCTGGGAAGGGGCCTTTTTTTCTGTTTTGTATGTTTTGTCATTTGGTCTAAAAACAACTGGCTTGTTTTATTTACTGTTACCTCTTTTGTTCCTTTTTCTTCCATCTTCTGTTTTTCATTGTTTTCACCGAATTTGCCAGATTGCTTTTTATCTGACGTATCTGCTTTGTGGATCTTTTTCATCGCATCTGGTACAAAACCTAATACTAATACCTAATATAGGGAGGGATTATAAATTAATAAATGTGTGTTAATTTACTTTTAGCTGAGATTTTTTTTTAAAGGGAAAGCCACATTTCCTGGCTCTTTCTGTTGAATTTCAGAAGACTTCCAGCAAATTCTTTGTTGGCTTATTTTCATTTTTTTGAAAGCAGAGATTATTTGTAAGTCCTGGACATCCTCGGTAGTTGATGCTTTATTTTCAGGTTCTACCAACTAACTTCTTTATGACTTTTCTAAGTCCTAGATTTGGGAGAAATCCAACTGTAGGATGGAATTCTTCAAACTGTTATTTCCCTCTAGGATTCTATTCAGTGGTTGCCAAAGTTAACAGTAATTTTCTTACTTGAAAATTATGCCAGTGACAGCCTAGCACTCATTTGAGAATCATTTGGATTGTCTCCTTTGTGATCATGGGAGTTTACCCAAAGTTGAAGAGTTGTGCTCCGACTTCCATGTGATCTAATGTTCTATTCCAGACCTTGGATTCAGTAGCCTCTTTGCTACAGGGCTGGCCCTTCATGACTGAGAAGGGGGCCTGCAGTCAAGGTGACCCACAAGTACGATAGGCTACTTAGGCCATGCTGAGAAAGGCTAGGTTTGGGAAGATCTTATTCATTATTTTTAAAATTCTAATATTTTTTCCTACCTTTTTATTTTGAAGCTTTTCAAACTTCCAGAAAATTGGGCTATTTGTGAATATAATTACACGCATTTCACATAAATTTGCCAATCTTTTTTTTAATTTGCCAATCTGTAATATTTTACCACATTTTCGTTGCCTTTCTGCCATGTGTAAAACAATTCTTATTGATTCATTGAAAGTTGCAGATGCTGTAAACTTAACCCCTAAATATATTAGCATGTACTTAAGTTAACCCCTGAATACATGCCATTATCTCCCACAATATCATTTTCATACCTGATACAATTATAATAATTCTGTAATGCCATCTGTTGTATAATCTATTTTTAAATTTCCTCAGTTTTCCCCCAGTGTCTTTATGGCTGACTAGTGGTTTTGTAGAATCAAGGCTGCTTGTCTTGTACAATTGTCCCACATTCTGCCTTTCTGATTGCTTCTTCGTGGTCAGGTTTAGGGAGGTTAGGGAGGAAGGATACATGTACTTCTCATTGCACCCTCTAGGAGGCGTGTGCTCAGTTTGTCCCACAGTTGGTGATGACCTGACTGATGCCTTCTTTGATTAAGATGTTATTTCAGACAAGGGTACACGTGAATCTTTCTAAATGCAGAATATAAATGTCTTAACACGATAAAAAAAAAAAAGATGTTATTTCAGGGCACAGAACTAGGTAACCACCAGACCTCTTTATTTCAAACGTGGCTTTTCCTCTTTGTAACTAGTAACTAGTAAGGAACGTTTTGAGTCCATGTGAATTCTCTGTTTTCCAGTAACCTTTCCGCCAGTAATTTTCGCATCCGTTCATGATCCTGGCCTGAAATTAATGATTAACTTGGAAGTTATAAACTAGTAATTTTCTACTTCTGTCATTCCTTCTACTTTTACAGCTGATAGGAAAGCATAAAGCTTTCTCTTTCTCCTCACCCTCCCCCTTGAGTGTATGCGTGTGCACACACAAGCCTCCCACACATGCACACTTAAATGTATCTGTGACCCACAGTAATTGTGTCATTGTTCTTTTTGGTGCTGACATTGTCCCACATTTGGCCATAAAGCTGGCTTCTGCATCTTTTGGAGCACTTCCTGGATTTCTGGCACAGGAAGATGCTCAGGCTCATTTTGTCTTTTCTCTGCCTTAGGCCTGCAGTCAGCCAGTTCTCCCAGGTGTTTGGTTCCTTATACTGGGAAACTGTATTTAGAAACCAACTGGCACACCCATTCCTCCTGGGGTTCCCTGCATCTATGCTTTTTCAGGCACAGACCTAGGAGATAATATTTTTTAAAGATTATTAATTTATATTACTTAACATTATGAGGTTTTTCCCTTTTCTTCTTCTTTTATTTTTGTATCTCTTCTACAATAAAATTCTGGTCCCTATGAAATTAATGTATTATTTGCAATAGGCTGCATTGTACACAAAATATTTCAAAATTATAATATCAGCATTATGACTATCAGCCTACCAAGTGAAGTTGAAGATTTTATTACCATTTTATTTTATTTTGGTTTTAGAAATTTGATTTGTTTCTGTTTATATTTTGAGTTTCTTTTGAAAATTTTATTTGGTACATAAAAACATTTTCATGCTTCAAATCTGTCAATCCTTCTACTAGGTGTATAGTTAAGGAGAGGAGGAGGAGTCTGCCTTCATCCCTGTGTCCCTCACTCTGCTCCCATCCAGCCCGTAAGAGATAATGATTTTTATTAGTTTCTGCTTTATCCTTATGTTCGTGTTCACAAAAAGAAGCTTATGTGTATTTTGTCCCTCTACCTAGATGTGTATTCTGTTCCCATTCTCTTTCTTACACCAAAGCAGCATTCAGGATACATTTCTCTCGTGGACTGCTTGTCTCTGTTCTGCAGCTGTGCAGTGTTTGATTGCACTGACGTGCCGTCATTCACTCAGCCAGGCTCTCATGTTTGCAGATTTGGTGGTTTCTAATATTTCGTTCTTATAACTCAATGAGTAGCCTCTGCTAGTGTTGTTTTGCATCTGTGGGGGTGGATCTTCTGGGTAAATTCATAGACATCCAGTTGCTAGGGGAAATGTGGACGCAGTTTTGTTAGAGACTGCCAAGCTTCCCGCTGAAGAGGTTGTAGCATTTGGCACTCCCACCAGCAATGTGGCAGAGTGTTTCTTTATAGCCTCACCAACAGTGTGCTGTCAAGCTTTTGAACTTCTGCTAGTCTCGTTAGATAAGAAGTGTTCTCAGCTAGTTTAAGTTGCACTTCTCTCATCGTGAGTACATGTGAGCCTTATTTTTCTTTCTGTTTTTTTATGTAGTTTAATTGTTCAGTCTTTTTTTTAATTGCTTCTGAGTTTTGAGTTATAGTTAAGAAATACTTTCTCATATCTTAGTTATATAAAGGAATTCACCCATGTTGTCTGATAGTCCTTGTTTGGTTTTATTTTGAATGTTTAGCTCTCTGACTTAATTGGAGTATTCTCTGCTATGTGGTGTGAGGTTTGAATCCAGTTTTATCTCTGACGAAATGGCAATCAGTTGTCTCAGTATCACTTACTAAGAAGCATACCTTTTCTCCTGCAGTGAAGGAAGTAGGGAAGGCCTGGTTTAAAGAAAAAGTTTGTTAGTTGAGCATGCTAATGTTTGATCTAAGTTTTATTGTGGAAAGGCTGAAGGAAAAAATAAAACTTGATCTATAGACACAAGTAGACTCCCTAATATAATTGAATTTATGCTCCAAAATTATAGGCCCCTCCTTTCAGGAGCTGAATCTGATCCATCACACTTACTGTGTGGGTGGGCAGAGAAGGCCCATCCTGAGAACAGGCTCTCTGAAGAGCAGCACTGCGTTTAAATGCTCTACCAGATCCCAGGCCAGGGGCTTTCACCTGACACTGTTCAACAGGAAGGAAAGTGCACATTGCCTTGTTGTCCTTCTTTGTGGGTAGGATGCTAGAGAAGGCACTGTGAAGGCTTACGCAGTTACCCTCACGTGGGAGCCAGTGCTGCCCTTGGGAGGTGGGGTATTTGGAAAGGTGTGTGTGAGATTTGTCCTAAGCACTGCAGTGTTCCTGGGAGGAATGTTTCATGGCCTACGTGGAGGAAGGGTACCCGTGCCAGGGCTAGCATGCCCAAATGCCCATAGCATCCTTACTGGAAAACAGACACTTGGAACTTGTTTGAAAAGACTGTAGTTTAAAAACTCTGGGAAAAGTTGAAAGAGCATCTAAAAACGTCAAGGGTGTCATAGTGGGTGAAACTTAGAGCCTGCTCTTTTCAGTTTTTTCAAAACTTAAAGGCTGCTCTTTTCAGCCTGCTCTTTGATATTTGCACAACTAACTGGGAGTTGGAATGATTTTCTTGAGCACTTTACCGCAGAAGTGGTATAGGAGCACCTCTTGTTTTCCTTTAAAAATAGATTATTTGTGGTATCACATTCAAGGAATGAAGCATTTAAAGCTAGCACTTGAAAATTGTGAATAATTAGTTTATTAATTACCTTTTTTTTTTCTTTTTGAACGTGTATGTAGCAATTTTGTTATCCCATTTTAAAGATTATGAAGTGAGATGATGCATATGAAACTCTAATGTGTGGCACATAGGAAGCGTTCCTTAACTATAAACTTTAACTTGTTTTTGTAACACTTGCTAATTAACCTTTGTGTGCATTTTCAGAGAGCTATTGCTTACCTTTTTCCAAGTGGTTTGTTTGAGAAGGGAGCCAGGCCAGTGATGAAGGTAGTTTTCTTAATTACTATTTTTTAAAATTTCGCTTAGTTTTATGTTATAGTAATTATGTAATACACTTTTAAATTTATTTTGCAGCATCCTGAACAGATTTTTCCAAAGCAAAGAGGTAAGTTTGTTCAAGGATGAAATAAACAATTTTTTTCTTCACTACCATGGTAAGTTATAATGTATCAGCATTGCTCTTAAACCTTTGTTACTCTCCTGTTCATGGTAGTTGTACAGTAGGTGAAAAATATTGCTTCATATAATCATGATTGGGGGTTGCAAAGTATTTCTTTTTAATTAAATGATACTAAAGTTAGATCAGCATAGAGTTTATGTGTTTGTTAATATCACTAGTTATTTGGGATTCCAGTATGCCTTTTTAAAAGGAAGAGTTTGGTACAGATACACTAGTAACTAATTCAACCCTGTTTATGTGGAAATTTTTAATTTCATTTTATTTTGGAAGCCTATTTTCACTGACTGTAGATTTCCTTTTTGTTCTTTCAGAATTTTAATGATGTAATTCCATTGTCTTATCTTGCATTGTTTCTGATGAGCAGTTGGCCCTCATTCTAATTAAGTCTCCTGTTTTCTCTGGCTTCTTTTAAGACTTTATCTTTTAAATGTGTGAAAACAAATCTTGAAGAAAACATAAATGAGCTTTAAATTTGCCCCCCAGTTGGGTAATATATTTACCATACATTTGAAGCTTCCAACGTGGACTGGTAGTAGTCATCAGTTAATTTAAAAAGTATTAAAGCCAGACATCGTTTGTTTAAAAGCACTTAAAATATAAAGTTACATTTATTCATCATACTTTCACTATAACCCAAAAAAGACTTTTTGCAGGGAGGGGCGAGAGGAATATGTGTCTGTCCCTTCCTATTTCTTTTGTATAATCCTGTCACTGATGTGTCATCAAAGTTTTTCAGTTTTGGTTTCCTTATAGTGGAGCAAAGAACTTAAAGAAGCTTCCTAAGAAATCTGGGCACAGGATATTTTTATATTTCCATGAATTTTCCCCTCAACCACACTGAAGTTGAACACAACTTTTTTTGAACAACTTGGCATTGAGCCTTTCTAACGCATTCAACTTAATTTTTATAGACGTAGCAACTATCTTTTCTCTTTGACTCATTAATATTTTATCTGTTATGTAATACTTAATTCATGTAGTTGTAGAAATAGTATGTTTGGGAGTAAATGCAGTTGATCATTAGTAATAAATAGGTTTGGGAGTACACACAACTAACTCACAGCAAAAGTTCATGGATGTACTAGGTAATAGCCTGATAGCCACAGATGCTCAGTGTACAGGTAGCATGATCAGTGTGTTTTAGGGTTAATTAGATAGAGATTGTAACACAGCAGATATTTTCATAGAAAACTTACTTGGTTTGCTGTACTATCTCTGCTAATTCTTCCCTTCTTCAAAGCTTCGGATTCTCATGTTCTGCTGCTCCACTTCATTCTTTGAAATGATAACTTTCATTTTAACCTTATTGGGAATGTTTTGAATCTTTTTATAAATATGTTCTGTGTTTCATATTTTCTCAATTCTTAGACATGGTGGATTATAAAATATAGCATCAATTTAATAATAGCTTTTGGGGAGGTTGTAATGAAAACCACGTTAGAAATCCATGTCAACTTTAAGATACAGTGCGGTGCCATAAAAGTAAGCTGTGCACAAGGCACGGTAACTTAGACCAGAAACCTTTTCTGTGTCTGTAATGACAGTGATTCCTTTTGTTGATTTTTACTCACTTCTTTCTGTCAGCCTCCCCACCTGTGTCTCTCCCTTTCTTTATTCTTTATATGTCTACTAGTTATAGCTCTTATACATCTTCCCATCTAAGCCTGGTTTAGTCTTTCTAATCATACCAGCTTCTCTAACAACTGAAATTTCTGTACATCCCAGCAAAATGCTGAAAATCCGAGCATTTGTAGGATTATCTTAAATCCTGCCAACTATATGTAGTTAGATACGCAGTTAACTATATATAACTACATGAGCAGTACTCCTGTATTCAGAATTAGTAAAATATTTTTTGCTGCTACCTCCCACCCAGTTTTGTTGTACTTTGTAAATATAGGACAAACTGATTTTTTGTGTGTTTAAAAAAAAAATCAGGCTGGGCACAATGGCTCATGCCTGTACTCTTAGCACTTTGAAAGGCAACACAGGAGGATCACCTAAGCCCAGGAGTTCAAGACCAGCCTAGGCAATAGCGAGACCCTGTCGCTACAAACCTTTTTTTAAAAATTTACCTTGGTATGATGGTGAGCACCGATAATCCCAGCTGCAAAGGAGGCTGAGGCAGGGGATCACTTAAGCCCAGGAGTTTGAGTTTGCACTGAGCTACAGTGACACCAGTGTACTGTAGTCAGGTAACACAGAGAGACCCAGACTCAAAAAAAAAAAAACTAAAACTAAAATTAGTGAAATTTAGATTTGGATAGATTATAACACTTGTAGTAATATACTACCACTTCTCATTAAAAGATGAAAGCTTATAGATTAACACAAGAATCCTGCTCTGTACTGTTTAAAGCAAGTGAAAAAAATATTGAGAAAAACAAAGGTATATACTGGGTTTATGATGGGAGAAAGGGGTAGCACCTGGTATTAGATAAAATGGAATTCAAGGAGGGTGGAGAATGGCTCTGTGACATAAGAATGTTCATTTATATTGATAAAACCTAATCTCCACTAATTGGATTTGATGGCTGTGAACCTTTTTGTACCAATCATTTAGCATTGAAATGTTTAAAACAAAAGCTATTAACTGTGCCTATAAAGAATTTGAATAACGCAGTATAATTTTATAGCTACAGATACAAATACAGAGAATACATTTTCTATGCCGCTGCCTATGGAATAGTAATATAATTATGATGTAAGAGGTCATAGGGAAAATCTTAACAACTTTCAAATAGTAAAAATCATACCAATTAGATTTTCCTGACTTAAAAATCAATGGAACCATATCACTGTTAGAAATCAAAATTAAGATTACAGACTATTTAGAAATGCATGACTGTGAGAACAGTTCCTATCAAATTCTGTGGAATGGACATCATATTATGCAGAGAGAAACTTGTATTTATTAGAAATTAAAGAAGACTGAAAATAAGTAACCTAAGTATTCAGTTCAGGAAGCCAGAAAGAGAAAAACTAAATTGATGACCATAGTGAAGAAATTTAAGAGGGAAACATGATAAACAAAACCAAGTGGTTCTTTGAAAAAGCCAGTGAGATCAGTCAGCCTCTGGCCAATCTGGTCACAGACAAAAGGAAACACAGAGGACAATATTAAGAGTTTTAAGTAATGGCGTTCAGAGGGTAATTTTAAAGCATAAGGTTGTGATAGGTAACTTTATTCTAATTATTTGGGAACAGCTTCCGAATTATAATAGTTTGCATTTATTGGAACAGAGTAGGCCAGGCAGAGTTTAAGTGCTTCTCATGTATTAACTCAGAATCTTCACAACAGTTTTGCTGAATAGACATTTTCCTCATTTTACAGATGTGGAAATTAAGCATAGTGAGCTTAACCTTACTAAGGACACACAGCCAGGAAGAGCTCAGCCAGAACACAGGGAGGCTCATCCAGCTGTGACTCTAGAGCACGTGGATGTGAGCACCAGACTCTACTGTCGTTGCCAAAGTTGTCGGAATCAGGAGATTGCTAGTTAAACTAAAACCTGGAGAGGAAGTCGCAGGTCATCAAAGGTCTAGTGAAAGAGGCACAAACCCAGAGCCACCATCTGGGCGTTCTAACATACACCTCCAAGGAGCAGGTAACTTTTATAAACTGTTGCAGAGGAGAAAAAAGAACAAGGTCCTCCAAATTCACTTTTTGAAGGGTCACACAATTAACAAATATGGGCACAAATTGCATAAAAAAAAACCTGTAGTCTGGTCTCACTAAATAAGATGCTAGCAAACTAAGTAAAGCCTTATATTAAGAGGATATACCAGACAACGTTTTTTCTCCCCAGGAATGTAAGGATGGGTTAAAGCTTGGGAATTTAAGGGAAAAATAATTCCATAGATAAATAATAAAGTTAATTAACAAATTTAAGCATTCTCTTCTTTTGTCATTGTTAAAAATAGTTAATGTAGAGATAAAAAGGAATTTTCTTAGTTAAGAGGACTATCACAAAAATGTCAATGTCAACTTACAAATGTATTATTAAATTCCACTAAGTTCAGGAATAAGACAGGTAAGCCTCCACTTCCTTCTGTTATTCAGCATTGTTGTTTTGGAAGGGTTTTTTGGGCAGTTTTTGGCTAGGGCTGGATTTGAACCCGCTACCTCTGGTATATGGAGCCAGTGCCCTACTCCTTTGAGCCACAGACGCTGCCCTGTTTTGGAAGTTTAACCAGAATACTTTTTTAAAACTGTAGATAAAAAAGGCAAAAAGTATGGATAAAAACCCCAAAGAAGTTAGGAAAATTGATTATTATTCATAGATGTATGATTTCCCACTTAGAAAATGGAAAACTGTGAACTATGTTAGAACTTAGGTGGAGTATCGTTATTTGAGTATCTGAATTCAAAACATTTGAATTACTGTGAATTTTCTTTTAGTGATACCCTTTTATAAAAATATCCCACAATCGGCTCAGCGCCTGTGGCTCAGGTGACTAAGGCGCCTGCCACATACACCTAAGGTGGTGGGTTCAAATCCAGCCTGGGCCCGCCAAAACAACAGTGATGACTACAACCAAAAAATGGCCGGCGTTGTGGCAGGCGCCTGTGGTCCCAGCTACTTGGGAGGCAGAGGCAGGAGACTCACTTGAACCCAGAAGTTGGAGGTTGCTGTGAGCTATTATGCCACAGCACTCTACCCAGGGAGGTAGCTTGAGGCTCTGTCTCAAAAAAAAAAAAAAAATCCCACAATGGAGAGAAAGAGTGAAATGCTGCTGATGCAGAGATCACATGAGCATCCTGCCAATTGGTAACGTTATAGTGGCCAGATCCACACACAGAAACCAGTGTGGAGTGGATTATAATGGTGGTCGAGTATCATCATTGTCTTATTGTTAATCAGTGCATTGCATAGCCAGGCATTGTGGTGGGCGCCTGTAGTCCCAGCTACTTGGGAGGTTGAGGCAAGAGAATCGCTGAAGCCCAAGAGTTTGAGGTTGCTGTGAGCTATGACATTACAGCACTCTACTGAGGGCAATATAATGAGACTCTGTCTCAAAAAAAATCAGTGCATTGCAGTCTTTCTCTACTTTTGTGTATTTTGGCAGACAAGAACTATTTATTTTATGAACATGAATTCCCACAGTACAAATATTTACCTACATATACATACAGACAAGTACATAAATATATATGCATCTGTACCACCTGTTTCTTAATTCATTTAATAGAATGTTATAAAAATAGATTGTGTCCAGAGCTGAGTCAAGACTTAAAAAAATAATTGGGTGCTTTTGGAATTAAGAAATCCAAATTCTAGGACAGAATTAAATAAAGTGACTGATAGAAGAATAAACGTACAGTTTTCAGTATTTTTAAAATAACTGAAATTATGCCCTCAAGACACAAATAAAGCAAAGGACAAAGATGATAAATTGTCTATTTTGTAATTAAAAACTTCTTTTTGAAAAAGAGATACTAGAAAATTTAAAGCAAGACAGAGACCTGATATCTAGAATAAATTACTTCCAAATTAATAAGAAAAAAAACGGGCACAGTGGCTCACACCTGTAATCCCAGCACTCTGGGAGGCCAAGACAGGAGGATCACTTGAGGTCAGGAGTTCAAAATAAGCAAGAAAACCAACTAAATAGAGAAATGGGCAAAGGAAAAGTAAGCAATTCATAAAAGAAGAAAGTAAAAATAGTAAACATTTGAAAATATCAGAGATCAGAAATAATATCCTCTAGAGCAGTAAGAGACTGTTAGTTATTGCCCATCAGATTGGAGCCACACAAAGAATACTGTCTATTTCGTGCAGGTATATGTGTAGATACACAGCAAGAGTCCTTTCTTTACCTACACAGTAAACAAACTCACCATGCCTCAGGCAGAGGAATTCTAGTATATAACCTTCATAAGAAGTACATATTACTTGTGTAAAGTTAATTTTGTAGATAACTGAACTGGGGGGGGGGCGTTGTTAAAACCAACAAAAACTAAGATACTTGCAAATAAAACTTGCAAAATATGTAAGAGAGTAATATAGAAAATAATGAAGCTTACAGATCAAAGATCGCAGGTGAGAACCTGAATGGTTAGAATAAAGATTCCCTGTTCCTTTAAGGGAAGACAATACGTAAAAGCTGCTACTTTTTAAATTATTAGTAAACTTAACATGATTTCAGTTAACCTCTTGGTACAACTTTGGGAGGAAATTTGTCATGTTGAATTGCACAAGAAGCGGCAAGGAATTTTTAAAAGGAATAATGAAAGAGCTTACCGTACCTGCTATGAAAACGCAGCAAAATTAGCTGGTTAAAATGGCCGAGGTGGCACAGAGTAGGCAGAGCATTGGACAGAGTGGAGTGCTCAGCGGCAGCGTGTGTTTATGCCATATTCTGTGAATTCCAAGGCATGTTTTCTCAAATTGTAACATCTTTGCCAACAAGATACACTTTATAATTATTGTAAACTATGTTATTTGCCATTGTTGGACAGCTTTTGTTCTCTTTATGTCATTTAAAGTACATGATGGGACATCTTAAAATCTGTAATACCTTTAGATTCAGTGAAATCCTCTGTGTGTGTGTGTGTGTGTGTGTGTGCGTGTGCATGTGCATGCCTGTGTGTGTACACATACATTATGAAATCAGTTCCAGGATATGAGACCCAGCTCCAACACCTCTCTAAACTTAACAGAGTCTTGTCTGATGTCTTGCCATGATGCTTGTTTTTTTTTATTACTTTCTGGCTACTTTACCAGCACAGTGAAAATCCGTTGCATGTTAAAAGTGGAAGTATTGGAAAATTTATAGGATTTTATGAAGTCTGTGAAGATAATGTTGGAAAAGTATTTGAATCATTGTAAACCATTAGTAAATAAGAATCTGGTTTTATCTTTCAAGCTGCCCAATCAAAACTTTCTGTCAACGCTTATTATGAAATTTTGATCTTCATTTCTAATCTACCTCACTTACAGTGGCCTGTCTAATGCTAATTATCCTGAGAAAAGAAATATATCCTATAAACAATACAGGTATTATTTCAACAGAAAAGGGTATACTATTCAAAAAAATGTAGAAGGATAAAGAAACTTTGCGGGACAAAATAATACTTAGATTCCTGCCTCACAAACATAAATTCCAAGTAGAGTAAATATATAAACATGAAAACTTATAAAAATTCCAGAGGAAAATGTAGTTTACAGGAGCCTAGAGCCTACTTCCTCTGCAGGTGGTGAGGGTTGGTTCATAGTTGTTACAGAAGTTTGTGGCCCTTCATAGGTCTGTGGTATTAAAATTTCATGGGGCTAGGCACACTTGGGGAAAAAATACCTAGAGAAGGCTTTCTTAAGGGGGTTAGTTAGAAAAAAACAGTTAAGAAACATGCCATAGACTAGGAAAAATGACAAGACTAGACTATATTCATATTTTAAACTCCTTGATTTTGAAAGATGCCATAAAGAAAACTAAAAGACAAGTGGCAGACTGAGAAAAAAGAGTTACAACTCACGGAATGGTCCAAGGAGTATAATAATCTTTATGGACAGCAGTTCCTACAAATGGTTAACAGAGAAACAAGAAAAATATGATGGGCGAGGGCTGTGGAGTTCGCATTTGGCTTATTTACTACAGGGACTCCATTTCTCAGTTTATTTGGTGGTGGTTAGTTGTGAATGACCATCTGTATTTCAGAAGAAATTACACGGAGCACCTCTTGGAGGCCCCTTCTTTAAATGTTATAGACGTTTTAAACTCTCTGAGGTGGATGAACAGAGTTGAAACAAATGATGTGGCATAGAAAAATAGGTTCTGTAGTGCTTTTCTTTGCTGTGTTTTCCTGTTGTGAATTCTCTGGGTGTCCTGTGTTATTGACACTCAATAGTTTTCCTTTTTAAGAATAGAGGAAAACATTGTATTTCTAACTAAACCTAATTTGTGTGTGTGTTCTAACAAGGTAATTTTGGCTCTGAGTTTTTCCTTGAAAATAAACTACAAAAATGCTCATGGCGAAATACTTTACAAAATATTTTATTAAATAGAAACATGGTTTTATGTTAATGGGTATAAAATAGTAAATATCTTAAATGTTTGCATGTTAAATATGTTAAACAAAATATTAAAATTCTAAATATTAATATTTTTGTTATTTTAAAAGTTAATTAGAACTATAAGTATGTCTCCTAACTGCAGTTAAACACAGATATTTGTTCTGTCTCTGTACGTAATCATGTTTGTTTTCATCTGGCTTTTTATTAGCAATCCAGTGGGGAGAAGATGGCCGCCCATTTCATTTTCTCTTCTATACTGGCAAACAATCCTATTACTCATTAATGCATGTAAGTATATTACATTTATGATTAATATGAACGATAAGCTACAAAACTAATTGTACTAGAGACTTTTCTCAGCTTCAGAATTCACCTAGTATTTTATAATGCTCAAAAATAAGACTTTTAGGGATAAGATAGTGTGTTGATGAAAGGCTTTTTATATTTTATTAATTCATTTTTGCTAAAGGCAAAGTTTATAGCATTTATATCAATATAGTTTATCCTTAAAATGCTTTTACTTGGAAATTAAAATCAACTTAGGAGAAAGGCGTTCACCTCAATAACAGTACGTATTACCACATCCAAGGTAGGGGACAAGGCCACATGTGTGATGCTATGAGGGGCTATGGAAGCGTTTACCTTGAGAGAAAAAAAATAGTTCTCTCTACTTAGAGTTCTGTTATTTATATACAGTTTTTGCCATCCCCAGGTTAATGCAGTGTGTGAGTCTAGGATGTGGGCCCCCAAACAGCCTAACAAATGATCGTTAAACTTTGACTTCCTGCTGCATTTGAGGGTACTCTGAACAGTCCGGTTCTCAGAACTCTAAGTGTTTTACGGTGTGCACATTTGAGAGCATTCTCCAGAACTACTATAGAAGAAAGGCTGTATGCCAGTACCTTGCTTTTATTTTTAGAACATGATGTCAAGTTCTATTTTATTCATTATTTTTTTTTATAAGTTTCAGAATTATTTATGGGGCATCTCCCAACCACAGGCTTAAATCAATGCACAGATTTTACTCTTCTTTTCAGAATTACCGGGTGTTTATTTGTGCTCCACAAACCCAAAGGACAAAATCCCCACTTGTCAGGTACATTTATTTCTTGAGGGGAAAAAAAAAAAAAAGAAAAAGAAAACCTTCTTTTCGCTTTTTGTTGACCTTGGGCAAATGAGCTTCTTGCCCTGGCAGAAATGAAATGAATGATAAATGTAGAGTGTGTCTTTGCTGAGTAATGGAGCCGAGGCTCAGGCTGCCACGGAGGTTCTCTCCCGCACAGCCCGAGGCTGCCCGAGGACCCCTGCTGTTCATTTAAATAGGTATGTCAAATCTGCCTCCAAACGCCGCTGGTTTGATCTGTGGTAATATTTGTGAAGGTTCCATATGGACTTGAGCCCCCTGCAGTGCTGAGAAATAATGTACAACGCTTCATGGTGCAGACGCAAATTTTCTCTGAAAAGGGATGCAATGCTGCGTTGTAGCTGTCGGAGGGGATGATGGAGCTGATGCGCTAGGCCTGTCAACTTGTTACACGGATGGGTTGCACGCAGCGAAGCTGTGGAAAATCTGTGCCTTTTAACTTTTCTACTTAATCACGGTTGTAGCATTGCCTTTAGACTGTATGCTACATTAATTCTCTTCCTGCCTTCTGCCTTTCATCCCAAGTTTCACGGAAAAAAGTAAAGCATGCAGGTCTTGTAGAAGAGCCTTATCAAACAGCTGTCATCTGACAAGCCATTTGCATTTGTTTTGGCTGAAACTGAGCAACCCAAGGGCAAGATACTTTGTTGCATTCCATCATAATGAAGAAATTATACATTGTATATAGGAGGCCTAACTTTATTTTTCAGTTTGTGTATGTGTTTTAAAAGGTATTACTCAAGAAACTCATCTCTTTCTCAGTGGATACAATTTTGCCATACTCTCTGGCTAAAATGTCAAATTGTTGCTGGTTCATAAACATTCTTTCTTTTTGAATAATTTAGATTAAGTTAGATATTAAAGGGTTTAGGAGCTTTTATGTCTCAGTTCAACTCTGACTCCTAAATACATGCCTCACGTATGTATTTCATACATTTCAGTATGGCAAACGCCATCAATTACAACTGTAGTCACCCCAGTCTCATTTGCTAGATGACGCAAATCACCATCTTCCAGCCGAGATCTGTTACTTTGAAATAGTGACTAAATAGTCGCGCTTCGATCTCAGAAGCACTTTTGTAGCGAAGTCAGGCACTGCTTATAAAGTCCAGCTGTCAAACTTGGAGCCTTAATGTGTGTGCTCTTTCCTTTGTTCTGCCTTCTTTTGGTGTGTGTGGGGGGGAGGCTGTCCCCTTCTCACTGTGACATTCTCTATTCCGTGGTGTGGGAAGTGGCCCCCAGAAGACTGTGGCAGGCTTTTAAAACATGGAAATGCATCCTTGTTGCTCCTGTTTATTTTGGTTGATATAATTATTTTCCCTGTATGACAGGATATCAGACACTAAGCCAGACTGTTTTTCCCACATCATCGACCAACTATAATTGTGCAAGGCCCAGCTGCCATTGGCCAAGCTTTATGACAAGAAAAGACATCTTGAGCCCATGTGCAGTTGTGTGAGGAGACCCTTCTGATGTCGATTAACCTTTGTTATCTTCTGTAATGATGCCAAGTCTTCTTTTTCATATTTGGTCACTGTTTGCATATTAAGCTTCTGTCTTACTTCCTTGCAACTAATGAAATACAGTCCTGTAAGGGCAATATGTAGTGACCTTTTCCAACTGACCTATGTTTAGCCCAGCTAATTTTGGTGGAGAAGTGGAGAGTTCCTTGAAGAAAAAGGCCAACGAGCCAAAAGATGCCATTTATTGTCCCTGCCTAGATGTGTTTAGGAAAGGACAAAGTGAAGAGACCAGGCCGGTTCATCTCACTCTGCTCATGTTTCACACTCCAGAGGCTTGTTCTGTGTCCAGGGCAGTTGGGACTCCCATTCTTCTGTGGATATAGATCCACCCATCTTTAGCTTCTTGGGAAAGTCAATAAAAACCCATTTATCTTACAGTGTCACTATTGAGATGAACATAGACATACTAGAATGAAAAAGTATAAGACAGTAATAACAAATAATTTCTTATGTTACAAAAAGGAGCTTAAGTGAGAATAAGAGACTTCTTGACTTGCTCAGAGCACCACTGAGTACATAACAGGGGTCCCCTGCTTGGTGGCACTGGCATGGCCAGCTTATTCTGCCCACAGTAGGTGGCTTCCCATCTCCTTAGAAGACATTTAACCAATAGAACTTGTATGCTTTTCAGACATGATTTAAGGTTTATGGGGCAGAAGGAAGAAAGAAAGAATAAAAGAAGTTTCCCGAAATAACTGAGCAAAGGAGTAAGGAAAGGGAAGACTTGTAAGGAAGGTGGAGATCTGGAAAGGAGACGCTGCACAGCAGAGGTCCTGAGGTGTGGCTGGCCACGGGCTGGTCTAGGGAGAAGACCCTGGTGCACAATCAAGGGGAGTGCGGAAAGGACCAAGTCAGAGGCTGGGCTGCCCTTTGGGTCCGTGGTGTAACCTGCCGTGGCTGCCCCTTGCCTATAGCACCGTGAGTCTGTCCAGGACAACCAAGTCGGTGGCAAAGGGAACAGTGCACTGTCTTCATGAGCAAGACATTTGTGAGCTTAGTGGTCGCAGTTCAGTTTATATAGGGCTTTTTTTGTTTGTTTGTTTATTTTGTTTTTTTGAGATAGAGCCTCAAGCTGTCCCCCCGGGTAGAGTGCCGTGGCTTCACTGCTCACAGCAACCTCCAACTCCTGGGCTCAAGCAAGTCTCTTGCCTCAGCCTCCCAAGTAGCTGAGACCATAGTCACCCACCACAACGCCTGGCCATTTTTTGGTTGCAGCCATCATTGTTGTTTGGCGGGCCCGGGCTGGATTCGAAGCCGCCACCTTAGGTGTATGTGGCTGGCGCCTTAGCCACTTGAGCCACAGGGTGCCGAGCCTTTTTTTTTTTTGAGGTCTTTTAACTTTAAGAAAGATGTTAATTCAGTTCTACTGCTTATATCACTACATATGTTTCAGGAAAAGTAAAATTCATTCACTGAAAGGAAGTTGAAGATCTTTTAAAACTCTTTAAGGGAGATGATTATTTATTTGACTCTGAAGTGGGAACCCTTGTGTAAAATCTGATTCATTTAAATCAAGGGGTGTCTGCAGTGGAGCTTTTCCCAAAGTGCTTTGTGCAGAACACAAGTTATGAAATATTCTCCAAGAAAGGAGCTTTGAAGTAATGTTAGTTTTGGAATGTTGCATATTGTGTCCTAGGGAATTCTAATACAGTGAAACTTAGCAGGATCAAAGCTCTGTGACATCCATAAGTAAACACACGGCTTTAACCCTCTGCTACTCAAGCGGAATAAACCCAGACCCCTTTCTACCCGGAACACTGTTTAATGCCCCGTGACACCAGGTCTCAAGGAAGGCTACAGTACAGAATACTGAAAATGCTCTCTGAGTTCTCATCGTAGGCACCTCTCACCTTCAACAGATTTTTCTCAACGTAGGTTAATAAAGTCTTCCCAGGTTAAGGATTGGTATCAGCCCCAATAGCTTAAGCATTTATTGGAATTTTACAAAAGCTCCGCTCACCCCAATCTTTAAGATGAGGGAGCCATGCAGCTGTAAAAACCTCCCTGGGAATTTAGCACCATTTCAGAACTTCATTTATATTTTAGGACTAGTAAACAAGGGAGTATATTCAAAGTATTTCTTTACATTGAAGGAATTGCATGGCCACAGGTGAAGTTTATACCAAGAAAATCATGTACAATGAAGAGATAAGTAGTTCATTATATAATTAAACTGTTCTGCTGAATTAGAAAAAAAAAGTTTAAAATGTGAAAGAAAACTAGGTAATTCTAATTCTTGCAAGTTATGAATAAACAGGGTTAATTTGCCTTGTGAAAGAAGCTCCTGGCTTATTTAGAGATTCCCCAGTTCATTTTAAATGACTTAAGTAACCTTCTGAGTTCTTAAAGCGTGAGCACGGCAGCCCCAGAAGTGTACTGCTTCATTATGTAGAGATTCCAGACTCAATAAGCAAAAGTCCTGGGGACTGAAGATCTCGAAATTCTTACTTAGTTCAGATGCTTCTAGATCCTCTTTGTGACCTGTGGGGAATATTTAAAATTCTTGGATGTAGGGCTCTTATCTTTAAAAATGGAATTAAAATAGTGACCCTTCTCACAGGGAGGCATTGTTAAATAACTGTTTTATAGCCATGTAAAGTGCTTATTTTTAAAAAGGTACAGACCAGTGCTGAAATATGTCTGCATGCTGTTTTAAGACTTTTCTGGACAGCAGGAGTTAATTCATTAATTAATTCAGTGGTAGAAATTGCTGTTCTAGAGGTCTCACTAATGTCCATTTTCCTCCCCTATGAATAATTACCATTGTATTTCTGGTATGCTCCAGATGTACTGGTTAGGAAAATTGTTTTTGCAAACAGATTTAACTTATTGTTTCTCTGTGGATTTTAATTAGATTGCTTCTTTTGTCATGGTATAATTATTATTATATATGATGAAACTTTAATTTGAGTAGTAAGAATATACAGTATCTGTATTACAAACACTTTGCATCATAACTCCGGGGCGTGAATTTCCTCAGAGTCCTTTTTCATAGGACCTGTCCATGAGATTATTTCCTCTTTGGAAATAGTTAAATAGTGTTACTTGATGTATAAACTATATAGCCTATGGTATTCACAGAGTGATAGCAGGGGTCTACAAAAGGACTGTGTCACTAGGAACCGTAGATACATAGCAGAACCTCTCTTAGTGATAAATGAATTATATTTATTTGATTGGATTTTGTATATGCCAGTGGCCATAAAATTGAGAAGATTATCTAAGAAATTGATTTTCTGTGATTTCTTTAATAAACACACATTTACAGCCAGTTACTTTATTGTCACTGAACTAGCATCTAAGGTGGCAATTAATAGTGTTACTATCTATACAATTGACTTTTTCTATACCAACCGTGCTTCACAAAATGTTACTTGTTTACCCTTCCTATATTGGAATTTCCACATGATTAATGTAAACAAAACAGATTTTAGAAAGATACTAAAAATCAGACTGCTCATGCTCTTGAAAAGGTTTAGTTTAAGCATTTCTTTCCTGCAACCTGAGCATCTGGTATTTTCAAATTAGGCACCTTCTAAATTTGACTCATACATTATGGAAATCTGATGACACGAGGGGTGGATAGGCTTGCTTTGATTTTATGAAATATTAATCATGGCTATGATTAATGATTCAGCATTTCACATCTGGGTTATTCCTGTCATATTTGAAAATTACACTATTAAATACAGTATATAAACTTAGTGTAGGTGGGTCATACTAATTCTCTAGTGTCCCTTAAAAATTAAGTGGAAACTTAACAATATAACAGAAGCTACCAGTGATAATCCGTGATGTTGACAGTTCCTGGCATATTTTATACCCTCAAGGATTTTTTGATGTAAATTAGTACACATCTCTTCCGGGAGTTGAAGCTATAGAATCTACTTTCCAGAGTACTGTTGTCTCTAACTAACCAAGGTAGAATCTCAAGAGTGATTTTATTATGCAAAAGGAAAAGAATAAATAGAGATGGGGTACCAGTAAAATTGTTTTGTTTGACTCCTGAAAACCATACCTCACCCCTGCTATCATTCTTGATCATTACCATAAGTCATTGTGCTAAGTCCCTACTTTACATATATTTTTCTATTTTAAAAAGTATATGGTGTGGCTTAACGAGTATTATGTGATTTGATAGATTACAATCATCAGATTGTAAGCATTTTTCTTAAATAAATAGAATCTACTGTGTTTGAAATCAGACATGTACTTTTCATGAGTTTTGTCCTTTTCCGCATTTTTTCTGATTATTTTACTTGTACAATTTATAAATTAATATGGACCTAAATATAACACTAGAAGAAAATGGCATAGTGGAAGGATATTTCTTTTCTTTTCTTTTTTTTTTTTTTGAGACAGTGTCCCCCTGGGTAGAGTGCCATGGCATCACAGCTCACAGCAACCTCCAACTCCTGGGCTAAAGCGAGTCTCCTGCCTCAGCCTCCCAAGTAGCTGGGACCACAGGTGCCCGCCACAACACCAGGCTATTTTTTAGTTGCAGCCATCATTGTTGTTGAGTGGGTCCAGGCTGGATTTGAACCCGCCACCTTAGGTGTATGTGGCTGGTGCCTTAGCCACTTGAGGCACAGGTGCCGAGCTGTGGAAGGATATTTCAAGAAAAAAACAGACTTAAAGAAAAAAATGACCAAAAGTCATTGGAAAATGAAGGTTAATCAGCAGCCTACACTTGAACGTAAAACTTACATACAAGGCAGGTCACTTTTTGTTACTACAGTTGTCTTGGATATTCCATAAAAGTATATAAGCACTTACTAGCAGAGGAAGATATCTTATTACTGGTTTTGGTGGAAAGTGCATAGTTTCTTGGCTAGATTTGGTTCTGAACCAGGGCACCCAGAGGTGGCAGCAGCCTGGCTGCTGTCCGGCCTGCTGATGGGCCATGCTGGGTACGCAGTGACATGCTGTCTGCCCATGTCTGTGCACTTTATCCAGGTGGGGAGGATTCATCTAGGAAGGGGTTCTTTACTAGTTTAGAGCACATGAGAAGTACTTTCTAGAAACAGGAACATAAAATGTTCTGCATATTAGTCAATTGGAGTCACAGCCCAGTATTTTAGCCTTTAAAAATAAGTTAAAAGTACCCTAACAACACTTGATGAGGCTAGCAGTTCTTGAGAGGCAAATTGTAAAATCTCACTTTAAGCTGAATAATAGGTATATATTCTATAGATGGTGATTCATGTTAGCGCTTTCTTATTTTAGGCTGGACGTTTGGGTTTTTGTTTTACATTGTCAGATTCTACAGGTGATACATTTGCACTCGGGATGTAGCTGTAGGGCTGGTGACACTTAATATGGATACCAGGAAGGATTACATTACTTTCCTTTCGCCCTTTGCTACTGTATTGAAGTAGATGCTCCATCATGTTCAAGCTTCAGTGCGTTTCACTCAGAGGCACTGTTCAAACAGGTCCCTGAGCACTACCCATCAGGAAGTCTGGAGTGGGTGGGAGAATTTGAATTTCCAGCCAGCCTGGGGTGCTGCTGGTCTGGGGACTGCACCTTTAGAACTGCTGAGCTGGAGTGATGGACTCACTTTTGGTTTGAGGTGCTCAGGCCCACTGTTAGTCTAGCTCACCTCCAGTTTGATAACTTCGAAGTATTACTTTCCTTCTTTTTCTCTCTGCCTTTTTTTTTTCTCTTCTAAACTATCGGTCTACTTTCTTTAGTGAAAAGCAAAACAAAATAAAAAACACTCTTATGAGTCTCCCCAGCCAAAAGGAATGAACTTTTACACCTTTATTCACTGAGAAGTCCTACCCCTGAGTATAATCTCAGCTTTCTCCCCTATATGTCGCAGAAACTGAAAGTCTCAGTCTTTTTGCTTCCTGTGTTTCTTTCCCCCATCTCTCTCTTCTTTTCCATTCTTTTTCCCCACAAGGGAAATGGATTTCTGCAAAAAGGTTGCAAAATAAAGATACTACAAAAATGCAAGCACTAATAAATACAGTGACAGTAGCAAAGGGACATTTCTCTTCTTAGAATAAACTTTATTGACAACATTATGCTGTAATATGGCTAGCCAGCCCCACAAGAAGGGGAGCTTAAAATTATTAAGACTATTTGAGGTGAGGCATGGTGGCTCCTGCCTGTAATCCTAGCTCTCTGGGAAGCCAAGGCAGGTGGATCACCTGAGTTCAGGAGTTTGAGACCAGCCTGAGCAAAAAGCAAGACCCTGTCTCTACTAAAAATAGGAAAACTAGCCTGGCATTGTGGTGGACTCCTGTAATCCCAGCTATTCGAGAGGCTGAGATAAGAGGATCACTTGAGCCCAAGAGTTTGAGGTAGGTTGCTTTGAACTACAACACCATGGCACTCTACTCAGAGTGACTAAGACTCTGTCTCCAAAAAAAAATTAAAAACTGTTAGAGTTATGGATTGACATCTCTATCAGTAACAAGCTGTTCCTTCTGACGTTAGTTAATGGTGTGAAGCTATCATGATTACCAGATAAAGGGGTCATTTATGTCATATGTACCTCGTCATTTTAAAGTGTCTTTCCACTAGGTATTAGTACAGTAAGTTATGTATCAATTACAAATTAATAAAAACAGAGGTACTACGTGTTCTCAAAAGTTCCTCAGTCAAAAATATTGGAAGATTATTGCATTCTTCTGCTTGTTATAAACCCATTGCCCATAAAATATATTTTATTGTAACCCTTATTGCTGGATTATTGCTTTTTTTATAATTCCTAACGAAGGGACAGACTTTCTTCTACTTCCATTGCAATTTTAACAAGTGACATACATTCGCAGATTTTAGTAGAAGGTAAATTAACAGAAAGAAGGCAAATAATAAAAAATAAATGCAATAGAAAATGCTTTAAGATACAGACTTCATGGTGAAAGCTTACATATTACATAAATAATAGAATGTTAGATGAGTTCACCTATAACTAGCATAAATTTTACTGGGTATTATTCTAAGTTTAACTGCACATTGCCATATATGTTACCTTTTGAATATTTTTAATCCTGTGTGTAAAACTCTAAGGCAAATAGTTTATAGGGGTTTTTTTTTTTTTTGGTTTGGTTTTCTAACCAGCCTCACAGAAATAGAGTTGTAGAGTTATTTTAAAATCACTTAAGTGTGCAATGATGTATGATACAAACTTCTCATTAAAATTACTCCATCATCCTTTAGTTTGAGTGAGAAATAGTATTATTAAAACCATTTTTCAGCTTTATTTACACTGCAGCTGGATTCTCTGAGGAGGCCACATTGGAAATAAGGAGTACTCTCGGGAAAACTACTGATGATATCAGGATTTAGTATGTCCTATCTCTCTTATTTTAGCATGTACTGTATGTTTTATTTGCCTTAGGATGTATATGGAATGCTACTCAAAATGGAAAAACATCAAAATCAATTGCAAGCCAAAGATCTCCTGCCAAAAAAAACTGAAACTAGGTAAGCTCTTATGTATAAAAATTGAGCTCAAAACCGTGCTACTTACTGGTATTTGTAAAAGCATACTTGAAGTCTAAAATTTTTTTTATATTTTAGCATTAATCCTTAAAGTTAATGTTTAAAAGAATAGATGGTTTTTGTTTAGGAGGAAGCAAATATTAAGGTTCTTTTACTTTATCCCAGATTGGTGTATTATTACATGATACTGAATTACTATATTTGGATATGATGTCCTTGGAATTTGTATGTATATAGGTACATGGTTTAATTTTTTCTGTATTAAATATTTCATGGCTTCTGCTCCCACTTGGCAAAAACTGATAGATCAGATCCATCAACCAGAGCAATCAGTGTTCAGTTTTGGCCTCCTGACTCAGATCTTTCCTGTTATGTGAAAGGTACACGTCTTTTAGTGCACCTTGCTTAAGTTGTAAATGCACTCCTAGTCCTTTTACTGCAGTCCATTGACAGGTTAACTTTGCACATAACATCTCCTTTGAAATAAATTCTACAGGCAGAATTTTAATCTTCACGAAACTTGGTGGCTTTTAATTTCAAATGAATTCTATACTGAGATACTTAACTCTTCAAACAAAACATTTGTTAGAGTAGGTGTCTTTATTCTAAAGTAGATTCAGAAAATGGAATATTTCTCAAAAATAGGTTACATGGATGAAATTACTGCTGTATAATATAAAAACTTGTTTTCAAATCCAGAATTACTACTATATGTGGAATCTTTTGTGATATAACTAATTGCACGGTTAATTAAAAAGAGAATATATGTGATATTTTAACAGAGACCTGATTGGCAGCAGATGGCTGATTAAGGAGGAACTAGAAGAAATGTTAGTGGAAAAACTGTCAGATCAAGATGTGAGTAATTAATCTTTTTAATTTAAGGGGACCTGTGCCATGAGCATGCAGACAATCACTGTATTTAGGATCCTAATGGTAATGTTCCTCAGGGGCAGGTACTCCTAAAACAATCAGTCTCCCTCCCTCCTCCCTTCCCTCCCTCCTCCCCTCCCTCCTTTCTTTCCTCCTTCCTTCCCTTCCCTCCTTCCTTCCTTCCTTTCCTCCTTCCCACCTTCCTTCCTCTCATTATCAATTTTGCCATGGGAAGACCTTCTCTATGCTCATGAAGGCGACTCATCAAGTCTCCAGATCTTCCTTTTCCAAGTGCCCTCACATCCTCTGCCAGTTGTTTGAGGGGTGCATAGCAGATGTCATTTTTGGTCTCCTTCAGTAAGGCCAATAGCTAATTTTACAAGTTAATGATAAGTGTAAGAGCCATTAGAGGCTGTGTAGAAAAGGGAGGCAGCACATGGTTACCTTCATGCTACGCATTGCTTCCTGCCTTACATTGTATGCCGTCTGTAAGGTCAGTGGTTTTCATCTTGGGATGTGGAAGCCAGTTGTATTAGAATTGCTTGGAATGTTCATTATTAATTTCTGTGTCCTCTGCCTCTCCCAAGCCTGACACAGAATCTCTAGGGCAGGCATCCTCAAACCACGGCCCCCAGGCTATGTGCAGCCCGCCTAGGACATTTATCCGGCCCACCAGGTGTTTTTTGCCACTGCTGACTGTCCTGCTTAGCAGCCAATTCATCCCAGGGCCAGCAGTCCAGTCCTCCAACTGTCTGAGGGACAGTGAACTGGCCCCCTGTTTAAAAAGTTTGAGGACCCCTGCTCTAGGGAGTCACCCAGGAATCCATCTTTTTTTTTTTAAATGAGAGAGTCTCACTCAGTTGCCCTGAGGTTAAGTGCTATGGCATCATAGCTCACAGCAACCTCAAACTCTTGGACTCAAGTGATCCTCCTGCATCAGCCTCCCAAATAGCTGGGACTATAGGTACTAGCCACAACACCCAACCGTTTTTTAGAGACGGAGTCTCTTGCTCAGGTGATTGGCCTTCCAACAGGGAATCCATCTTTTTAGCCAACTTTCCAGATGACTCTCATGCCCAGGAAAGTTTGTAACCCTTGCTTTAGGTCTTCTCTCTGTTCTTATTTTGTTGAGTGTTCTAATATATCCCAACGTTATCAAAGGAAGTTTGCTGTTTTAAATATTTTGATGTTCTAAGCAGATTACTTTTGAAGATTAGAGTGTAATCTTGATACATTTTACCAAATGTTCCAGTAAGAAACATTTCTCCCATGGCAGTGGTTAACCTCATTAGTACCTTGCCACCATAGAGATTTTAATGCATGCACGTCAGTTGCTCTTTTTCTCATTTAACATATTAGGGAAATTAATGATTTGGAAAAGTTGCTATTTGCTTAAACAAGGTATCAAATATTTGGTTAGTGGTCGTTCTGGAGTGAGTGTCTAACACCCTAACTGCTAAGTCTTGCTGCACGTACATCTGTCTGAGAGGTTTGCTTCTTCCCTCAATGTGCCATTTTGTTTGCTCTGTGATCTTTGTAACTCGTGTTCTGTTGTGGGTTTTTTTTAACCCCCTACTTTGGAAATATCCCAGAGACTTTAATTTGGGCATACAACTATAAAAACAAAACAAATTGTACATGATAATCTTCTGTATTTAGGGTAGTGGGTATCATAAGGAATCCTGGTATCGAGATGCAGGAGGTAATAGTGGATATTGGCTTCTTAAGTATCCAACTTAGTTCAAACAAGGCTGCGGCCCACCTGTGGCCCCCTTTGTAGGTACAACAGTGGTCACTGAGAGTGTGTGAGGTGGTGGTCAGAGAATCGCTGAGCGCAGAGCACCTGAGCAAGTGACTGGAGGGGACACAAGGAGCTGTGTTAGCCCAGCACTGTAGGTGGCCACGTGTTCAACCCTTCCTTAGAAAATTGCCTTCCCTTTTATTATTGTATCACTGAAAGCTGTATTTGAAGCAGTTTTTAAAGTATTAATCTTACTGGTGATATTTTAAATATTTCCAACTACTCATGTCAGATCTTTACTGAGAGAGGCGTGGTCTTTACTAAGGCAGTGGCGACTAAGATGAGTATGATTTTTAGGGTTGCCAAAAAACATAAATAAGGAAAACTGGGTTTCATAATCTACATTAACTAAAGACCTCAAGTATTAGTTGTTTCCTTCTCCGTAAACACTTTAGAATGATTATTCAGGCTTCTAATTTTAAGGGGTTAATTCTAAGTTGTTTACTTTCTAATCACATGTTCAAGAACTATTAAAAAAAATGCACAGAGGAGCAAGGATAATTTATTTCAAGAGGTTGCCCTTTAAGTCAAGTATCTCTTGAATTTTTAAATAGCTTGATTGTTCGGTTTTAAAGGAAATCATAAACATTAAAGTAACACAGCTTGAACAGCCAAAGATATATTTGCCAAATGTACTATGAAATATTATTTAAGAGGTACATTTTCTCAAAATCAAACCCTTTCCATTTTACTATACATAACTTACTGGAAATTATTTGTAAAGTTCCTCTTGATGCAGTTTTAATAAAAGTGGAAATTACACTTGAAGATGATCTTAAATACTCTTTGAAAATGAATTTAAATCTCAATTTCATAATCGTAATACACAGAAATTGATTTTTCTTTGAATGATAAATCTCTTTGTTTCTTGAAAGAAAAGATTTCGCACGAAAGATACACAGGGAAAGTGATGCATCTGCATGCTGTTTTAAAAGCAGCATGAAGATGCAGAAGTGTCATCCTGTCAAAATTCATCAAGAAAAGCAACATTGGAAAGATCAAGTATGCAAAAATAGGAAAAATTTAGCAAATGCAATTACACTTGCATCTTCTAATGAATTTTTATTGTTTGCAGTATATGCACTTCATTCAGCTGCTAGAAAAGTTATTGACATTGCAGTGTGGTGCTGCTGAGGAAGAATTTGTACAGAGGTTCCGCAGAAGTGTAACTATTCAATCAAAAAAGCAGCTGATTGAACCCGTGCGGTATGACGAGCAAGGAATGGCCTTTAGCACAAGTGAAGGTAATGACATTCCATGGACAGAAATAAATTTAGGGAAGATTGAAAAACTACAATTATTTTGATTCGCTATTGCCCTCTGGTACCTATTTAGTTTTTCTATTTATCTATTTATGTGTGCTACTAACTACACATTGGATTTCCTAATTTTTAAGGTATCATTGAGAAATTTTGAAAACTGAACCTTAAATTGTCCCAAGAAAAAAATGAGAATGCATATCCATACGATCTTATTAACACTTATTTTTATACACCTATATTAGGTCTTTTTATTTTCACACTTTAAACTGGTAGAATCCCTAAAATATATGTAAGAAGGGTTTCGTCTCAAAAAATGAAAATGCTCAATGAATCTGCACGTCAGATGCAACATGTGCAGACTTCAGGTCCTCAGCTCACATTCTCCTTGGGTACGTTCAGAGACATTTGACATAGTCTGGCTTTTAAGAATTGACCTATTAAATGATACATTTGCAACTCTCAAAAAATTTAATATCGTTCTTTGGTTGTTTCTAATGACTATAGGGTTTTTAAAGAAATGTAATTTTCCTGATTCTTTCATTTCTGCCCATTATATTTCATATTATTCATATATTTGTAAAGGTCATATTATTAGATATATTCTCATTGACTACAAAAGAACACTATGTAAATTGGTTGTGTGTGTTTTTTAAGTAAAGTAAATGAGTATGAATTACTTTATTGGTTGTTAAAACTGATTTGAAGTCACTATAGTGTTTCTGAAGAGCACAGTTATCTCACAGTAAGCTTTATTATGTCTGCTGTGGTGTAGTTTACCTGTTTGATCTTTGACTTGTGAGAATTACAGAACTTCCCTAGGAAGAGTGTTGTATATTCGGGAAAAACAGATTTTAGGGTGGTTTTCCCTGTCTCAAAATACTGGTCTTTAAGATTTTCACTAATACAAATTTTATATTTTTAAAGGTAAAAGAAAGAGTGCAAAAGCAGAAGCTACTGTTTATGAACGTGGAAGTGGAAAAATAAACGTGAACGGAATTGATTACCTGCTCTACTTCCCAGTCACACAGGACAGGTTCGGGTTTTGGTCTTGGCTTTGATTTTTATTTCTAAATGAAATACACTTGATAATACATCACGATCAATTAAGATGGCTTGTAATTTCCTATTTCTATTTGTCAGGACGATTATTTCTCTTTACCAGCGTAACATATAAAACTAGCTAGATGGAAGCTATTGCTATTTTTTTATGTAATCTGTAGATTTTTTTTTAAATCTCTTGGAATTCTTCATTAATTGACTCTTCCTCCTCTTTCATCAGATCCTACTGGAATTTGAGTGTTCTTAAATATACCTGACATTCTAAAACGCTGACTATGTCAAAGTGTAAGAAAAGTAGATTCCCACGTTCTGGTGTAGAAGTGGCTACGCAGAAAGCGAAACCACTACCACAAAATCTAACCTTAGCTTTCATGACTCAAGCTACTAAGGAATGGAGAGTATGAGTGGATTTCTTGTGGTTTGTGTTTTCCTGACCCTAAATGTTAGCAAAGGTCTCCGTTATCATTTTGGGTTTTTCTATTCAGAGAAACTTGATTGTGTCTATACTGAGCAAGCAGAGAGACCAGGCATTTGTGGGTTAAAATAAGAGCTCATCACGCTTTGCTTCAGTGCTAAATACAGCAGCTTTATTTTTTAAATTTTGTATCCCATGGAGAAATAGACATTAATCATAAATAGATACCACGGATCTTCTAATCCTCTAAATACACTCATCTTAAATCTCTCTGTGAGTCTCTAAATAAAGGCCTCTTCTCGAAACAGTTACATTTTTTCCAACAGTTACTATATGATGAGGTCCTCCTTTCTTAATCCTTCTGTTTCTTGAACGTGTTATGATATTTAAGGTTAAAAGAGCTCAAACTGTTCTGATCCCGACGCTTAACATAAGGCAAAGAGGCCCCTTCTAATACAGTATAAGCTCTGGCCATGGTAATTACATTAGGAAATGTATGTAATTTTTTGTGCGTGTGTACCTGTATCAAGAAGTAGCCCACTCTTAACTCTGTTTAAGATGAATTAAACTAATTCTGCTATTATTCTCTCAGGGAAAGAAATAGAGGAAACTCTTATTTTACTTAGGAAAAGCTAGAGGGAGACCCTTACCACAAGGGATGAGATATCTGACACAGAGTTTAACAGAGATAGATATTAAGGCAAAATCAAGGTGCTTGACAAAGGTGATAGTGAACATCATACCTGTTACAAAAATGGGTGCTCAACAAATACTTGTTCAGCTGAGGGAAAGAAGGCGAAGGCCAGGCTGCCTCCTGTGCCTTCTCTGGCACCTGCCTGGGTCCGAGGGCACTCACTGACCCTGAGAGAGTAGGCCAACTGAGGTCGTCAGGGTAACACCTGGCCCCAGGCAGGGAGCAGGACCCTGCAGCTTAGAGAACTAAATAGGAATTTGTGTTTGGGGGAGAGGATGTTGAATGTAGTTTTAGTGACCTTAAAAACTATTTTAAGTTGACCCAATTGTATATTCACAGCCATATACTTTCTTCAGTGAATCCAAACAGCATTTAGTAATTGGGAAGATCTATTAATTTTGTATCTGATCATTGAATCCAGAGACGTTAGATTTGGTTAATGGAGTTTTCCAACCTTAAGACTTCTTTACAAGGTTATTTTTAAGCCTGGCAAAGTTCTTGTGAAATAAAGGGGATTAACAAATAGTAAGGTTGAGTATGTTGCTTTGCTATACTCTATATATGTTTATTGCTATACCCAAGAAAAAGAGAAATAAACCTTATAGCTCTCAGCCAAATGTTCCAAATGTCAGAAACATCAGTGTTTCTAGGTCTTGGTTTAATGGATTGAGAAGTATGAAAACTATAGCATTGGCATGCAGAATATGGTTTTTATAAATATTCAGAGTGTCAGCTCTTTATAAAACCATGTACCTTTACAGTAAATGTAACCATGCTTTCTTGTGTTATGCTTTAGAGTACAGCTGATGTTCCCTTTTCACTTCCTTGACCGACTTGGAAAACACGACGTGACCTGCACAGTCTCTGGGGGCGGGAGGTCAGCGCAGGCTGGAGCGATCCGCTTGGCAGTGGCCAAAGCCCTGTGCAGCTTTGTCACTGAGGATGAGGTGGAGTGGATGAGACAAGGTATGAGCAGCTGGGAGGTGTGTGGCCGGACACTAGCTGCATAGTAACTGACCTGAAGTTAGAGAATGCTCAGTCAAATATGTCACATTGGCAGTGTTCTGGCTGCATCTTTCACACTGCAGAACCATAACAGAATTTTTTAGGTTTGATTTCTACAAAGTGAACTAGCATTAGAAAAAGGAAAGCAGGGCACTTGCAGTGATGAATATTTGGGTCCTGCTAAAATGTTCAGTGTCGGGTCAGGCGAAGTTTCCTTTAGCCTTTTGTCCGGCTTAACAAAGCTCTTAGCCCAGTGGTTCTCAACTTTCCTAATGCCGCTACTTTAGCCATGAAAATAATTTTATGGTTGGGGGTCATCACAACATGAGGAACTGTATTAAAGGGTCACAGCATTAGGAAGGTTGAGAACCACTATTTAGGCCAATTATGTTTAAGAGATCAATTGGTGGGTTTTGTTTTATCATAGAAATTTGTAGTAATTGTTTGTCTAATGATAATTAGATATTTCTTTCCAAAATTATTGGAGATTTTCATTTTTTCCATTGTGGTATTAGTTTGAGTTTTCTTTTACCTCACTCTATAACCTTTTCACCTGGGTGTGTATACAGCAGTCCCTGCATGGAATGGAAAAGAGCATGCAGTCGATTCTTAAATTAGGGCATTGCTTTAACATTTATAATAAATCAGGCAGGCTGGAGATGAAGATTGTCTTTGTGCTACTTATGAAAGGAAGAAAGCACTGTGTGTGCTGTAACCCAGCTAGGTGGCCCTGGACACATCACTTAGCACCTCTGCTGGAAAGCTCTCTGGCCAAGTAAGATGCTCTGTGTGCTCCCTGCCCCCCAGTGTGAGCCACTGAGGTTCAGAATAAGCAGTACCTATGGTTTACACTACTACTGTCTTTAGCCTTTTAAAAATCCATTTGATTTGCCATACCTAGTCATTAAAATAATTTTCTAGGACCTTACCAAACAATTCTGCTGGTTTCAGCTACTGTACACATAGGAAAGGAAAAAAGCACTGTTACTTATAACTTAAACTAGGATTTAGGCAAGTCTTGTCTGTATTTTGTCCAAAATACTGTTGTTTCCTTCCATGCAGGCCCGTTAGGTTAGTGCAAGAGCTTATGAGTATATGACCGAAGGTTTCCTTTGCTGTGTGGCCTTTAAATGACCCCCAATAAAATACTCAAGCCTTATATACAGTAAAGAGAAGGGTTACATTAGAGTAAAAAGATAAGGACAAACTATGGTCTACTTATGTATTTATAAAAGCAATGTAAGAGCTTTCTCAGCAGCAGTGTTCTTGGAGTGTATGGTCTGTACTAACCTGCTGTGGCTCCAGCCTCTGGGGGGTGCTCTCCTGTGGACTGTATGCTAAGCTTAACTCAGCACTGCCTAGAAACATAGTTGCTTCTGAACATTAGGAGAGTGGAAATTGCAGCTTTCAACTCACCTTATTCTGGATCAGTGTTTTTTATTTTTTATCTGCGGCACACTTAAACCTTAAACCTATAGTTAAACTTCCAGAGTACACTTAAATTATGTTGATTTTTTTTAAAGTAAAAAAAAAAGAACATACTTACTGTGCATTGAACTTTCTTTGAAAATAATTTAATTAATGACCTTTGACAATTTTTAAAGTTTCACAGCATGCCTAAGATCTTTTCACGGTGTGAGAGGTACACCAGTTGAAAATCACTGTTCTAGAAAAAACTGCTCATGCTTAGAATACAACTCTAAAACCTGGTTTTTAGATTCTGAAGCAAAATATCAAGGAATGTTATTGTTATACAAATTAGAATAACGAAAGTTCCTTTTCTCAGGTATGTCTGACAAGCACGTTTGTGTGTGTGCCTACGCAGGTACACTTAACACAGTGTTTGTGTGCCGCCTCTTCCTGCATCCTCTAGGAAGTTTTCATCTTCTCGTCTCCATTAAAACTCTCATCTCTGCACTAATAAGGATGCAGAGTGAGTTTTCTTACCACTGAATTGTGACTACCCACACTAGAACAGCTTGCTCTTAAGCTGAACAAGTTTAAAAACCAAAAAGGGGTCATACTCCTACAGGGTAAGGAAAACAGATTCAATGGTTGTCACTGGTACTTGTCTCAGAAGTTGGAAAAATACCCTAAGAGAGTGGAAGTAAACTGCTGTCCCGAGATTTACACCAGGCTGGCAAATTATAATACATCTGGTTGCTTTCTTCCAGTTTTTTTCTCTGACAGCAGCACCTATGATAAATGCATGAGCTTTCCCTGCTTTTCTGCTTGGCAACATGCGTTGTCCATCATTCCTAACGGCTTCTCTTTCCCTGCCCCAGCTGGACTGCTGACTCCCGACCCCCGAGTCAGAGAACGGAAGAAGCCAGGCCAGGAGGGAGCCCGCAGAAAGTTTACCTGGAAGAAGCGCTGAGGGTGTTTTCACAGGAAGAGGGGAGAGCTGTCTGTGTGCCTGGCCTGTGACAGACACGCAGTGAAAAAGTGGCTGACCACTGTGAGGGGAGCAGCGTCAGATATCGTTTGGGGTTATGAGAAGATTCAATTTTAAATGCTGCTTTGTAAAAGTGACCTTTTAAAAATGAAAAAAGAAAACTGTACACATGGAAACAGAGTGTGGAATGATGGACACTGAAAACTCAGAGAGGTGAGGGTGGGGATGGTGGCAGGTGGATGCCACGAAGGTCCCAACTTCACCACCTGCCCTGCGTCCATGTAACAAAATTGTACTTAATAGTCCATGAATAAATATCCATTGTAAAAATGTGGGAAAAAATTCGGACTTTTTCTTTGTAAGGGAATAAGCTCCTGGGCTAAATCTGGAAAAATGTACTTTATGTTTTCTAGTTACACAGTGAAAGTTTATACTTGTATCTCACTGTGTTGTACCTGCTTGCAGACACCAAGGCACAACTTATAAGCCAAAAAAAATTTTTAACTTTATTTTGCTGTTTTACTTTTTATTTTTATTTATTTTTTGTTTTGTTTTTCTTTTGAGATAGAGTCTCACTTTGTTGAGCTTGGTGTCATAGCTCACAGCAACCTCAAACTCTTGGGCTAAAGCAGTCCTCTTGCCTCAGCCCTCCCAAGGCTTTGGGACTACAAGTGTCTGCCGCAACACCCGGCTAGTTTTAGAGACAGGGTCTTGCTCTTGCTCAGGCTGGTCTCCAACTCCTAAGCTCAGGCAATCCATCTGCTTCAGCCTCCAGAGTGCTAGGATTATAGGCAAGAGCCATTGTGCCCAGCCCTGCTGCTTTATTTTTTAAACCTTTTCAGAAGATACTTTAGATAGTTTTAGGAGCATAATTCATAGAACTTTGGCATATTAGAGATAAGAGGAACATTCAGCAAATTATAGTTGAGTTATCTCCTTTTGCAGATGAGAAAACTCAGCTCCAAAGACTAAGCAAGCAACCTGAACCAGAATCCTGCTAATTTAATGCTCCAGCTAGGCTAGAACTCATTTCTCTTGATTCTATTGTTTCCCCACATGTTTTTCAGACTAAGAAGTGAGAGTGCTTGTTCAGAAGAACCACATGCAGTGTGTGTCTGTGTCAGAGGCTCAGCCGAGTGGGAGGGAGCTGAGCTGCTAGAGCTGGGAGTGGCTGGTACAGACAGATGCTGCTGGGCTGTGACCACTCATTGCCTTAGTGTGGGCACGCTCACACAGGAGATAGTGACCCAAGCCCCTGTTTAGACCCATTTTTTAATTTTTTATTTTATTTTATATATTTAAGGTGTATAACAAGATTTTTTTTGCCTTCTGTTGCCCCAGACTAGAGTGCCATGGCATCAGCCTAGCTCTCAGCAACCCCAAACTCCTGGGCTCAAGTGATCTTCTGACTCAGCCTCCCGCATAGCTGGGACTTCAGGCACCCACCACAATACCCAGCTAATTTTTCTATGTGTAGTAGAGCTGGGGTCTTGCCCTTGCTCAGGCTGGTCAACAGGATATTTTGATACACAGAGTGTGGAGTGATTACCATGGTCAAATAAATTAACATATTTGTCATGTCACCGTTACCATGCACACGCCTATGTGCGTAGAAAGAGCACCTAAATGTTCTCTCAGCAAGCTTCCAGTGTACAATACAATTAATATAGTTCACAGGCTACTCCTCAGATCTCTAGGCTTACTCATCCTACATAAGTGCAACTTATGCTGTGACCAGCATCTCACTTCCCCTAGTCCCACCCCCTCCCCAGTAACCACCATTCTATTCGCTACGTCTGCGAGTTTGATGTTTTAAAACACCACAGCTCATGGAGATCATGTGTTACTTGTCTTTCTGTGCCTGGCTTATTTCACTTAGTGTCGTGTTCTCCAAGTTCACCCACGTCTAGGCAAAGGGCAGGGTTGCCTTTTTCAGGGCTGTATGGCATTCCATTTTGTACATGTGCCACAGTTTATTTAGTCAATTTAGATTTTATTTTGAATCAGCACAGATGTGGAGAAAGGTGTCTTTAAGCTGCCGCTTCCCTAGAGGGTCTCAGCTGAGGTACCTGAGGAAGGACTTGGCCAAGGGGAACAGATAGGGAGGCCTCTGGTAAGGCACCTGCCAGGAGTACAGAGACAGTTTGGAAGACATGGGCTGCAGGTGGCAGGCTGAGTCCCTGAGTGCAGCCCAGCCTGGACTCTCTGCACCAGTCAGGTGTGGGAAGGGCAGTTTGGCCCCAGGGAGGCCCACCAGGCACAATCTCTGTCACTGACAAACACCTGAAAGGTCACACATAGCTGTTTGGTCAGTTGTCCTCAGTCTTAGGTGTTAAATTGAGTTTGCTGCAGGCTAACTCCTAAAGTCCCTTATGTGAAGAAACATGGGCATTTTAATTTTAGTGCAATTTTGCAGTATGTTTTTGAGGTGGGGAAAGGGCAGTTGGTGACAAGGGTACACTAAAATCCATTTCAGTGCAATTGTTTGAAGTAAAAATACTGCTTCAAGAATTAGACCCTCAATGCTCAATTTTCCTTTATGCAGAAATTGTATACCACTAATTTCAAAATGAATTCTGTTTTTTAAAAGTCTTGCATATATTCTGAGACATGTATGTACACATTTAAATCCTTATTGAGTAAAATAACACGATTCTGCTGTAGTAAGATCACGCCTGTCAGGTTTGGGTTGCCAGCACTGATTTAGCCTGTGTCTGCTGGGGCGTGCTTTTTACCACTTTTGACGCGGGAAAAGCAACCAGTGGTTCCTCCCTGCAGTGTGGGGCTGTGTGGGCCTTACCCAAGGCAGCTAGCTGCACTCTACTGTACCACTGCCCTCGGAGCCAGTGTAGAGCTGACTGCAGAGGACGCTTTCTGGTCCCACACCAGCTGCTGCTAATGTTGCGGAGAAACCCCTGCAGAAACCCCTGCGTGCTGTCACAGTAAACCCAGCAGGGGGCTAAAAAGGGGCCCTTGCTACTGCATCAAAGTCGTAGCACTTTGATGAAGAGGCCGTGGGAGCTGAGATGGAGGCAAGGACAGAGAGGAAGGAGGAAGAACAGCACAGCCCTGGGCACGGAGCTGAGCCCTGGGGGGTAACAGGACTGGCTGGGTATGAGGCTGAGGCGGGCCTGTGGAGGGCCCATAATGCCAGCGGGGAATCACTAAGCCTTTTTCTTCCTCCTCTCATAGTTGAGATCAAAATGATGGTTTCAAGCTTTATCAACGGGACCCTTTTAAAAAAATGTTAAGTGGAGTCACTGTACATAATGTAACAAAAACACTTGGCCCTTGTTAGGGCTCACCTTTCTGTGAGGCATGGCCAGGAACCCAGAGCTCCAGGGCAATGGCTTCCCAAACCTCTGCTTCAGAAACATCCCCTGGCTACTGCAGAAGCAGGGTTTCACCAGGGGGAAGCCTGGTGGAGGCTATTGTCACATGAACAGGCACAGACAGTGTGGGGAGAGAGGTGATGTCAGCTCCCCTGGACACAGTGGATGGGGACTGACTGCAGGGACAGGTGTGAAATACGAGATGGAGCAGGCTGCCAGGAACGCGAAAGATGGAGTACACGGTGCCCGCAGAGGGTCCACTTCGGTTCCTTGAGTTTCAGGTCTTAGGGCCACCTAAGTGGAATAGCGTGGCACACAGGTGGAGACAGGGCTGTGACTCAGAGGATAGGTCAGGTCACTGATGGATTTTGGGAGGCTGTCATTTAGAACGGGGATTGGGAATGTGGGATGGGGTCAGCAAGGAGGAACCTACCAAGCTCAGCTCTCGAGAAACACCCTTCAAGTTTAAAGACCAAAGCAAGGAGGAGCGACAGGAGGAAGGGAAGCCAGTGACAACAGAGTCAGGGCCACAGGGAGATGAGGATGCATGGTCTGGAGAAGACACCAGCGTGAGACCCTGGCAGGCCACTGTGCCCCCTGCCAGTCCCAGTTTCCTCACATCAAATCTGAATCCCACCAACCCCACTGCCCTTGACAGGTAAGAAAGGGTGAAAACATCAGACGATTTGCTCTGATCCATTTTCCATTCCCCAGGCCAGGGCAAAGACCTCACTGAGGCCAGCTCCCCTGGGAGCTTTCAAACTTTGGGCGAGAAGTACAATCAAATCCTGGGAAAATGAAGAAGGAAGAAATCTGAAGTTCTCTTGAAGAGTTTTCACAGGAAATCCAAAAGTTGTCCTAACTTGTTAAAGCTTAAGTAGCAATGCTTTAACAAATGGTATTAATAATACAGATTTATCACTACAAAAAGGTCTTCTCTCCTCCTTTTAAAAAAATTTCCTAGCTGTTGACAAATTGAATTTTCCTTTTTTTTTTTTTTTTTTGCAGTTATTGGCCGGGGCTGGGTTTGAATGGGCTGCCTCTTGAATTTTCCTTTTAAAATATTTTTTCATGGGCAGTGCCTGTGGCTCAAAGGAGTAGGGTGCCCGCCCCCATATGCCAGAGGTCTCCCATATGCCAGAGGCAGCAGGTTCAAACCCAGCCCCAGCCAAAAAAGGAAAAAAAAAGAAAAAATTTTTCACATTTTGTACCTCAGGAGTAATTTATATTTTTTGTGAAATGAAAGGAAAAAAATCCTTTGTTGAGATTTTGCTTTTGCATCGATTTGCTTTTGTATGAAGTTCAGTAGTTATTACAGCTTAGTGGTTAAAGATTACTTTCAATTGTAATGGGTTCATTGTGTAAGAAGTGTTTTAACCAAAGACTTAAAATAAGAAGAAAACTTTGTGTAGCCGATAAAGTTATCCACCAAAGAACGTGACAATCATTTTTGTTGAGATCATTATTGTTGCTTGCCTCTTAATTTTTGAGACTGTGTTACTTTCAAACTTCAATATTTGCAAAATACAACATACAAATCCTTTCTTACAAATCTTTGAGAGTTCTTTGAGGGAGCCACCATAGGTGGCTCTGAACCACGGAGAGGCTGAACACGCCCCATGTCTGCGGGGTTGCCCGAATGCAGACCAGCCTCGGTATTTTAACTGGCAATGGAAAAACCTCAATTCCAACATCAAATTACTCCAACGTCTATACCGTCATGTTGCTGTTGCCTCTGAGTAGTCAGATCAATGAGCTTTGTGCTAAAAACGGAGGAAAACCGTGCCAAATGACTTAGTCATCTCAAAGGCAACCGCTTACTTATACAGGTACCATCACCTCTCTCCCTTCCCTTTTCTGAACTCTTGGATCACTATGCACTGGGATGTAACCACATGACAAGGCTGAGAAGGGATTGTTTGGATGAGACTCAAAACTAATGTTTATACAGCTCTTCTTATGGGCTAAGTGGCTCACATGGATTTTACCAAATCCTTT